AATAAATCCACTAATTCAAAGACATTTTTTAAAAAATGAGACTTGGCATAGTGGTTCATGCCTGTAATCCCAGCACTTTGAGGGTCGAAATAGGAGTGCTTTAGCTCAGGAGTTTGAGACCAGCCTAGGCAACACAGCAAGATCTCTTCTCTGCAAAAAAATAAGAAAAATCAGCCGGGCATGGTGGCATGCACCTGTATCACAGTTACTCAGGAGGCTGAGGCAGGAGATTCACCTGAGCTCAGGAGGTGAAGGCTGCAGTGAGCCATGGTGGTGTCACTGCACTCCAGGCAGGGCAACAGTGTGAGACTCCAACTCAACACACAAACAAAACAAAACAAAAATCCAACAGAACTCTTCATAGAATCTCATAAGCTAATCTTATAATTTGTAAGAATAATTGGTCAAGAGTAGGAATTCTGAATTTGAATGATAAAGAGAGAAGTCTTCTCAATACTTCTTCTAAAGTTAAAGCTACTAAAGCAGAGTCGAGCCAAAGGAACAGAGAGAGCTGGAAGAAATTATGTATTTAAGAGAAATGGTGTTACAAGTCAGCAGGCAAAGAGCAGCAATGACACTGGGACAACTGTTTACCCATATACCAAGGATATCTTTAGATTCCAACCTAACACTATGAACAAAAATAACTTGCAGGTGGATTAAAGGACTGAGGGATTAAAATAATTTAAAAACTTTTAGGAGAACAAACAATAATCTATCATCTTCTGAAAAAGACATAGAGAGTACAAATCAGACTTTCAAATTTGCCATTAAAAAAGCCAAAGCCCAAGAAAAGATATCTGCAACCCCGAAACAACCAGAACATCTAGCAAATGCTTCCAAGTCAGTAAGGAATTTTGGAGAGATTCCACAGCAAGAACAAGCAACTCAGAACAGAAGAAATCAGAATGAAAAATGCCACTAGATGAAATAGAATTAACCTCAGCAACCATCCAGAAAATAAAAATTGTAATAATAGTGAGGCATCATTTCACACCCATTCAAGTTGCAAAACAAATAACTCGGATTGTTCGAGGTATTGGTGAGGATACAGACACATGGGTGCTGTTATAAACAGTGGATATGTAAACTGATAGAACCATTTTGAGAGCAACTTGGCAACGAACAGTAAGAAGTGCCTTCCCAATGACCCAGCAAACCATTTCCACATGTCCACGCAGAAAAAGTCTTAAGGTCATGCACAAGAAGACGCGGGTAAGGATGCTTGTTATACATTGTTTCTAACAGCAAAAAAAATAGAAAGAACCTATGTCAGCAGAAAAAATGGGTTAAAAACTGGTTTAATACAATAAACAGATAAATCATGGCTAACTCATATTAGACAGTTACAGTGAATTTAATTCATCTACATATAAACAAAAAAATCGAAACATACTTTGGAGTAAAAAGAGTTACAAAATAATGCTAAGAGTTTGACAACATTTACATAAATTTCTAAACATACAACAATTGCATATATTGTTATGGATATACATAGGTAATAAAAGTACAACAGACTTTAGAATGATTCACAATTGTAGAAGAGTGGAAAAGGAAGGTGATGTGGGGTTTAGTCGTACCTGTAATGGTTTATTTAAAAGAAAAAGACAGATAAGGCAAAATGTTAAAATCTGTTTATCTTTGTGGTAGGTGGGCATATTATTTTCAGCAATTTTGAGTACATGTGAAGAAGTGTAAATAAATTGCTACTACATTCTCACTAAAAAGCATTTAGCAGATACTAAAAAAAAGGAATAGGAAAACAACTACCTATCATTCGTTCCTCTAACCACACAGAACTAGCTGTTGGTATTTTCTGTTTTTTCTTTACATATAAAATTAAACACGTAGTGTGAGAAATCTCGTACTTTGTTCTTAACATATCACAGTCATGTTTCCCTGTCATTATTTCAGACTTATAAAATCTGTACATACTCATGGTTACAAAAGATTTAAACCACTTAGGAGGGAATATAAATAAGAACCTTCATCCTACCCTAGATTCCACTCCTACTGCCAAGAGTTTCCTATTTACCAGGTACAGAAATCATGCTTTTAGGAATCATCACAGCCGGGCTCGGTGGCTCAGCCTGAATCCCAGCGCTTTGGGAGGCCGAGGTGAGCCGACTGCCTGAGTCCGCGGGTTCGAGACCCACCTGGGCAACTTGGCGAGACCTTATCTCTACAATAAATCAAAAAATTAGCTGGGCGTGGTAGTGCGTGCCTGTAGTTCCAGCTACTTGGAAGGCTGAGGCGGAAGGATCGCCAGAGCCCAGCAGGTCGAGGCTGTGGTGGCCGGAGCAGACACTGCACTCCAGTATGGGCAACAGAGTAAGACTCCAACTCAAAAAAAAAAGGAATCACCACACGGATTTCCACAGAGGCTGCACTAGTTTACACTCTCACCAACAGTGCAGAAGTGTTCCCTTTTCACCACATCCTCTCCATCATCTGTTATTTTTTGAGTTATTGATGATGGCCATTCTGACTGGAGTTAGGTGTTATCTCAGTGTAGCTTTCCATATGACCCTGCAATCCCCCTACTGGGAATGTATCTGGAAGAACTCAAATCGCCCTATAATAAAGATACCTGCACACGTATGTTTATCAAAGCATTGTTCACAATAGCAAGAACATGGAACCAACCATGCAGCCCATCCAAAGAGGACTGGATAAAAAAAGTGTGGTATATATACACGTGGAATATTATGCAGCAATAAAAAAGAACAAAATCATGAACTTTGCAGCAGCTTGGATGGAATTAGAGTCTATAATACTGAGTGGTCTTTCACAGAAACAAAGGTTTGAGTATCACATGCTCTCACTCATAAGTGGACCCTGAACATCTACCATAATACTATAGGAAAAGGATTGACAGTAGCCAGAAACTGTGGGGGAGGGCGGAGAGGTGGGATATCTTCCTGGGTAAGGGGGGACACACTTCATCAGCAGCGGTGCCTGCACAATGAATATTAGTATATCTAAGCCTGAATTGTACCCCACAATTTTAAAATAAAATCACTGAAATTAAAAAAAGAAAAAAGAAATCAAGCTTTCTACCAACTCACAGAGTGAAGTACCACTGTGGTGCCACTAGGTGGAGGCAGAGCTCGCAAAGTGTAATCTTTGGCAGTTTTTTTTTAGAGATAATACATTTGATCACAGAGTTTCCAGAACATAACATTAAATTTAAAATCAACTTGTAAGTTTCTCGAATTTAAAAATTCAAATTTCTCTACACCACAATCACTTAAAATGAGGATAATTGCTGACATTTGGTATAAGTGTTTTCTTTTAATGGACACATGGGTATCCATCCATACCCTTCAAGTGCTTTTTTTTAAAAAATGGAAATAAAAAAAACTTACTAATCTAGAGAATGTATCTTCATAAATAATTCTGATATTAAATATGGATGTTAAGAAAAAACTGTGACTTTAAAAAGCTACAGTATTCAAACAAAAGTATATACTTATAAGTCAGTATTGCATTTGGCAAACTTAAAGGCCTATATTTAAATAAACAAACAGAAACTTACAATATTCAGACTGCAGAGCTGACCCAGATCTAAATATAGCTCTGCAACCATTACTACTTTACAGAGTAGAGCAAGCGAAATGAATGAAGTCACACACTTTTAGCATTTGCTGCAATTACAATCTGTCCACTCACTCTCCTTGCATTATCTGTCTACCATTTAAACCAGAGGATTAAAACCACAGAAATAATACAAGAATATAGTCACTGACTAAGAATTAATTTGCAAATTGAGGACTTTATTTCATAAAATTGTTTTTAAAATTAGAACCCTTTCTAAATCATAACTTCAGGAACACTGCAACAATTAAATTTAAAAAGTCAAACTGGAAAACACTCATATGTCAATATTTAACTGATACCAAAGACTAGAATTTCCACATGAGTTTCAACCAACCAATGACTAAACTGTTTTTCATTCTTTGGAACCTTGTCTACACTGTCATAAGATTGGAAAAATGGATCAAGCAGGCAATAATAAGGGCACACAATTTAAAAAATAATTTCTAATACAAGAAAGATCCCATTTTAAATTCAAAACCTCTATAAACTCTGCAAAAAGTCAAAACTAAAATATTTAAATTTCATCATCCTATTGAAATGTATTCTCACAATGTAAACATTTTCAAAAAACACAGCAAAACAAATATAATCAAAATGTTAAAAAAAAAAATCTTCTTTGGGAGGAATTCCAGTTTCTAACAACAAAAATATGTACGTTTTTCTAAATATAAATACAGTTTTTAAAATTTTGTTTAAAGGTTAATTGATTCAGTACCTCTAAGTTCAGAAGGGTAATACCCTTTCAAAAAAAGGACAAAATTAGAAAAGCAAAATAAAATACTAAAAATAGGCCTAGTGGGATTGACAACTTAATTTTTTAAATTACAGATGGGCTTGAAGTCCACAGTTAGTTAAGAGCAGAGCTAGAATCCAAACCCATGATTCCAAGATCTTACCCTAATTTTTATTTCTGCTATAGAGTTAACTGCTATTTGAAAGGATGGTTTCCCTTAAAGTTCAGCACTTCATCTACCCACCTTGACTTGGCATTTATAATATGCTGCCTTTATCATAAATTATATTTTTACATGACTTCCCATTTCAATTTAATTCTAAGCAACAATTTGCTTAAAAAGTCTTATAGTGAACACTTACTATAATAAGATATATAACAATTGCTCAAATAAACATTTGATTGATTAAATTAATCAAGCATTCAGGTTTCTTAAAAGCATGTATATAAACATATAATAACTATACACGGGAAAAGCATATATATATATATATATATGCATTTCATATAGTATTCTCAAACAATAAATACCTATATTATTAATGACAAAAAGAGAAAATAAGAGATCGAGAAAACTTTCATCACAGATTTCAAAGTACATAATTCCTAAAAGGACATGGTAGAAAGTTACTTTACCAACTGTACCAACACTTTTTGTTGAGCTTACCAGGAAATTGTGACACTATTGGGGGTGTGTCTTCATCTAAGTCATCAACTCCTCCAGCAATTGGATAGGGTGGAATGGAGACTCTGGGCATCACCACCCAGCTGTGATCAGAATAAAGGGAAGAGGTCAGGCTGGGGAGTCCAGAGTTATGGGCTATCTGAAAGCCACAGATTTTCTCAATTTGTTGCCAGCGAAAAAGTCGTTCTCGTAAACAAGTTGTCAACTCAGAGAGAGCTTTCCTGGAAAAGTCAATAAAATAATTACTTATTGTATACCAAGAGGCTTTAATATGGCACTGCAAAAGGCAATACATGAACATATCATGGCAATTAACTAATTTCTTTTTTTTCAAATTTTTTTATTTTAAAGATGTGGGGTACAATTCAGGGTTAGATATACAAATGTTCATTATACACATACCCTTGTTGATAAGGTGTCCCCCCCTCCCCTGGCAGATTCCCACCAATTAACTAATTTCAAGAAAAAATTACCCACTCTTAGAATCAGTGAAAATTATGTATTTATATGATTAAATGGTAAATGTAAACATAAATTTCCTACAAATTATTCATTTCAACATGATAAACAATAGAGCAAAAAAACAGATAGCTGAAATAACATTCTTACTTTGCTTCCAGAATTTTGTGGTCTACTTCATCTAGGGAAGAGCTATGTGCAACATGCAGAGTTCCAAAAACCGTGCTTCTCTTCTTTTTAATTTTTTCTGCCTAGAAGCCAAAAAGGAGAAAGATAAGGTTAAATCTTTAAAAAAAAAAAAAATCCACATACACTAATAAAGTTTATTTTGGTTTTGAGTATATTCACAATCATAAAACCAGTTGAGAATTATTAGCCAAGATATCCCTGTTTTCCAAAAAGAAAACAGAAGAGGGAGAGAGCATGCTTTCCCTAAACCAATCAATATAATTCAAAACTACTCTGGAGAATTTTTCTCTTATTTCTATGGTTCAGAAAGACCTGAATTTTCTATTAAAACTAACACAAATATTAATTATATCCTACTGCAATGGAGGTGTTAGTGAGTGAAATGACTTTTTTGTTGTTGTTGCTAGAACTCAGATTAAGACTTATTCTTATCCCACAGAATTTATTAAGTGTCAAAATTAATTTCTAGTAACTACTAACCTGAATCAGATACGAAGCAGCAACCTAAAGGAGAAAAGCTCTGTATAAAACTTTTATGATAATGATAAATAACAATAATGTTTAAATGACACTAAGGTCATTTTGAATAGTATACACATCTCTAAATACAGTACATTCACTTCAAAGCCTAGGATTACAAGAGTCAATTTACATAGCAAGTTCTAATTCAAGAAAAGAAACTAGCAATATTATCTGAATAATAATATTCAGATCTTTTTATCCCAGTAAATTAATCCTTCTAGGAATGTAGCCTCATAAATTTAGTAAATTTTGAAATATAAATGAGTACCTCATCCTTAGCAATAGCTAATTGCATTTCAGCATTTTGCCTTTTAATATTGTAGTACTGTACTTCTACTTCATGTGTTAATTGAAGCCATTTCTGAAGTGCATCTGGAACAGACCAGCTACTTCTCAGTTCAAATTCTTTTTCAGCCTTTTTTAGAGCCATGCGAACCTAGACAAAAGCAGGGAGACAGGGAAGGAGAAAGGGATGAAGAAAGGATTAAAATATTTTTAAGTACCCAAACTAAAAAAAAAAAGAATTTTAACAATGCTCTTTGTAATCATCAATTAAGTCTAAATAACTTGAAGTTAAGTCTAAAGCTTCAAGCGCATCTTAAATCCAAAGTTGTGAAACCAGAGAGGGCAGAAAGGGCTTATATATATCTCTCTCTCTTAAGGTACAATGTTTAGTTTTTATATTTTATATTTCAGACTCACTGAAGGGAAAAAAATTCCAGGGCATAAACAAATTAAAACGGATAACACTCTTCTAAAAATGTATATTTTGTTTATGAAGTAGGATACAAAGAAGTATCTCAAATCAGGTGGATACCAGTTTACTACCCCTTCTGATGTTCCCAGGTCCTACTGTAGCTCCTTAACTGTATGCTCATTTTAAAAAAAGGAATTAGACCTTTTTTTCCTGCAGTTTTTCATTATGACTTCCTATGGCCAGTTATTTCTCACTGTTACAGGCATATCTACCTATTATAGCCTGTTTTGACCACTTCTGCTACTTAATTCATTGCTTCTATTATACCAGAAAGTATAATAAAAAGTAGGTAAATGAGCATTTACAAATCATGTATACATTTCAAGAAAACAGATTCTGAGTAAGAATCAACTTGATTTTTTCATGTGAAACTATGCAAAGTTTTCAGTGTAAAGATGTAGTATTTCTTCCACCTGTCTTTAAGGGAGTCAGACAACATACAGAGAAAAAACTAAAATGCTTAGTGTGTCAGGTGATAAAAAACATCTTGAGGAAATCCTCACTAAGAAAAGGACAGTGAAAACAGATAATCCATTCTTGGAATGATTTGCTTAAACACTAGCAATAACTTTTGGACTAAAGATGTGTAAAGAAACATTATGAAGTTTCTGGAAATGTGCACACACACTGAAGACCTTCGGACAAAGTGAGGAATGGACTATGGTGCATCCTGATTATAGAGTACCATAACTGCAGATTAGTTTTCCCTAAAGCTAATTAGGGTCAGTGAAACTCCATTCTCAAACTAAAAACCGAGAAGTATTTGATCTAAACAAACCCAGCTTATTTAAATAAACTTCATTGTGTGCCAGAAAAAAACTAAAAAGAGTACAATATGCAAAATTACAAATGAAAATTCACAGTGGGACACTAAGTAGTTGATTTCTCTTACACACACACTCTAGTACTCAATTTTTTAAAAAGAGACATTAAAGTAAAAGTGAGATAACACTTATTCACTGAAAACAAATTCCAAGCAATATTTGCTTGGCATGATTTATTGTGCAATGACTTGGGATAATACTGTGTTTAATAAGACGGCTTAGTAAACTATGTGTTATACCTGCTAGTCTCTCAGGAAGAGAGAACTGGAGCTCAGGTCCTGTGACACGCAGTTCTATGTAACAGCACAAAGTGCATATAAGTAAGCCCTTTTTCTCAGAAGATTTTAAAGTTAAAATTTCTATAAATTTTCATTTCAAGGAAGTATACAGAGAATATCAACAAATTTCACTCATGTTATTCTCTTCAATCATAAAGATTTTCCTTAATGTTAATTACATAAATCTGTTTTCCCTAGTAGAGCTCAACTAAAACACAGAAACTGCATATATATATATATTTGTGTGTGTGTGTGTGTGTGTGTGTGTGTGGCTGAACAATGTTTAGATTGATTGTCAAAGAATGTCTAAAACTTGTAAAAACTCTGAACTTCCAATAATGGCAATTGTTTATTTAACTGTTATTAATAAGATAACTGTTTTCTCTGCTACTTAACAGCTATTATTCATAAATTTATCATCTGACCTTAACTCCAACTCTTAGCTAAAATTACAACGTTATTTGTAGGGGAATGAACACAGCAAACATTGGGTAATTAACAGCTTTTGAAAATAATAAATTATTGTTTAAAAATGGGACAATTATTTATATAATTGTTTTACCTTAGGAATAAAACAGCAATAAGTAAAAATATGATGAAACAAAAAGAAGCAGTCTAAATATCTGAATACCTCACTTCTAGACCCAACTTTATTATTTATTACCTCTGTGACCTTCAGTAAGTTCCTTCCCTTCTGATGCTTACAGTCTCAGGTAGAATAGAAGTATTATCACTAGTCCCAGCTAAAGGCTTCTTGAGACTCTTTTAAAGAACAAAATAGACCAGGTGCGGTGGCTCAAGTCTGTAATCCCAGCACTTTGAGAGGCCGAGGAGAGAGGTCAGCCTGAGACTGTGGGTTCAAGACCAACCTGGGCAATATGGTGAGACCTCTTTTCTACAATAAATCAAAAAATTAGCTGGGTGTGGTAGTGCGTGCGTGCCTATAGTTCCGGCTATTTAGAAGGCTGAGGCGGAAGGATCGCTGGAGTCAAACAGGTCGACACTGGGGTGGCCATCAGCGTGCCACTGCACTCCAGCTTGGGAGACGGAGTGAGACTCCAACTAAAAAAATAACAATAACAACAACAACAAAAAGAACAAAATAATTTATGCGAATACTATTTAAAATCACCAAAAATATAAAGTAGTCACCCAAATCTTTGTCTTGGAGATAATAATACTATTCAAAATACATACCAGGTTTTTCTGTCTTCTAATTTTGAGAAGTTGATTATCCCTCAGACAAAATATAGTAATGCTTTGAACTATGAGGAATTCTGGACTATGTGACATTATGTGTAATTAATTTCCCAGTTAAACATTTCTATAAGCAAAGGTTTAGCAGAAGTACAGGAAAACACAGGTTTTGAAATATGACATGCAAAATCTTGTCTTTGCCATATAGTAGCTGTGTAACCTAAGGCAAGGTTCTTAACCACTCTGCACATATCACCTGTAAACAAGGATAAAATCTATGAATTGTGCATATTAAAATTTATGATCAATCCATTGGCAATGTGTCCAGCATATGCTTCCAACACATAGCATGCACAGAAAATTGTGTTTCTTATTAATATAATCATGTTGGACAGTTTTTTCTAAAATATCCATTTCCCTCCTTTAAACCATCTCTTATTGGCCCAGGATCTCATTAGATTATTATGTTAGTATTGGTACACCATATCATAGTAACTTTAAAGTCTACTAAGGCATGCATGGTCTCGGCTAAAACTTCAGATTAAAATGTTCACAATTCTTGGGTCCTTTTTTGATATTATGTTTCCACCTCACTGTGAAGTATTCTCTGTGAAATACTACCATCTGTTTATGTCTCTGTAGAAGAATTCCAAGCTACTGCTTTCTGATTTTTCTCTCTTATCTGCAAAGTTTAGAAAAACAGCTACAAAGTTTGTTAGTACTGTGAACAAGCTGAGAGTTAAATGTCTTGGTAGCAAAAGGCAGGACATTCTCAGAAGAGGAAAGGGCATAATATCTCATTCTAGGGCACAGTATAATTTTGGCTACGCATTTTTTGTCAGCTCCCTGATTCTTTATCACATTCTGTACTGATAAGATTTGTCAGGTAAATGGGGCACAACTGTAATATATGTCTAAGTTAATTTAAAAGAACAAACTCCTTACAGGGAAGAGATCCAAGAAACAGATGTCTGGGGTATGAGGAAAACAGTAGTTAACAGGAATAAAAGAGAGAGCTGTGTTCAGTCAGACAACCTCATAAAATGTCTTGAAGGCAACAGTAATGCATAGTACATATTTTCCCATGAGTTGAAATTAAAAATCATTCATCACTTAATTTCTATTTCTTATTTAACACTCAATTAAGAAGGCAGAGGGTATAAAACTAAGTGGGAGGCAGAATATCTGGGTTCTTGCACCTGCTTTACAACTCTCTAATTTTGATCAAGTTTTCCAATTCTCACTTTGTTCCTCACTTTCTTTATCAGTAAAGAAAGCATCACTGTCAGAAAGAGGGGCTGGGACCATGAAAGCAGAGATGGACTGACACTCTTTCAAGAAGAAGGAAGAGGCTGTGAGACAAGAAATGCAAGTGGCCTCTAGAAGTAGAAAAGGCAAGGAAATAGGTCCTCCCCCAAGCCTCCAGGAGGAACACAGCCCTGCCCACTCACTTTGACCTGCAAAACTGTACGATAATAAAGTTGTGTTTATTTAAGGCACTAAGTTTGTATTAATTTTTTTTACCACAGGAATTTCTCCTAGATCTTTACTCCCTCTGACGGGCAGTTGTGCAATGCTTGGATACCTACATTCCATCTTAACTAACTACGAGAAACACATATCAGAAAGGACATCTTTTAGACAGCTTCAGAATTTTTAGCAAATTGTATTCTAAAACCATTTAACACCATTCAGATGGATGTTTAATTAGAGATCTCTCACCTTTGCAGAGAAGTTCAAAATTAGATATACTTTATCTTACTAGGTTACAGTCAGAAACTCAAATTACAGATGTTAAATAAACACCTTAAATTTATTCAAGTCAATGAACATAGCAAGAGATAAGATTTCATGAATGAGTGAACATGATAGTAACTTCATCTTTCAGTTACTACGTTGTTATTCTGCTATATGGACTTTGATCAATACTAACAATATAAACAAATGATTCTTTTATTGACTGAGGAACAGTATACAATGGAACTGTATAAACAGGTTCTGGCTCCTCAGAGTGGCAATATAAATATCCTAACAAATAACTTTGCAAAATAAATACCTGTTCCAATTCCTGTTCTGCATACTGACGTCTACTTAGTTCACATTCAGCCCCCTCCCTTAGTTCTCTCAGCCGACACGCCTCCTCCTTTGCATAATTAATTTCATCCATCATTTTGCGTTCCAGATTTTGCTTTTCTACAGCAACATTTCTGTTTTCTTCTTGTGCCTTTTCAAGCCTTGTAGTACAAAAAAGATAAAAATTTCTCACAAAAGTTTCTAAAATGTGTTTTCTCACAAAAGAATAAATATTATGTCAAGCAATTAGATATATATTGCAATTCAATTAATAGCATTTTCCATTAGCTTAAATTTGGATAATAAAAATACCAAGCATTTTACTACAGAGCTATTTTGGTCACCTTAGGCTCAAAAGACAGGGAGAGCAGGGAAACACTCTTCCACAAAAAGACTTTTAAGAAATTCATAATTACTTAAATCAAGTTAAAAACAAAATTTAACTACACATACAATTCCACCTATATTTGGTTTTATTTCCACTGGTATTTTACTGATTTATTCCTAAGTACATACATTTATAATAAATCTTAATTATGAAAATATTATACTTTTCTAAAAATATGAAATCAAATGTGCATACATTTCAGAGGTATATAATAATTTAAAAATGTCTTTAGGCACATACTCATGTTACATTTTTACAAATTGTTTTTCCTACATAAATAACAAGAGTTATGATTTTTTTATTTACCTCTCTTGTAAGTCCATTAGACTTTGCTCTGCAGTTTGTAGACTCTCTAAGTCTTTCATCATTTTTGCAACATGTTCTTTTGATGTCTTATTCTGTGTATAAGCAAACCAGCACCCTCCAACACCAATTACTATAGAAACTGTGAGGATAAAATCCTTCATCCAATTATGAGGTGGGCCTATGAAAAGAAGTACTGATGATTAAATTAATCTTTAAATGGAATACAGCCTCAACACAAACAGGCACTTTTTAAAAGTAGTACTTGTCTAAAAAGTAAGCAAACTGAAGCTCTCCTTACTATATACAAGTTCTAGCCTTTTGTTTTTGTTTTTGTTTTTTAAAAGTCATATTTTATTTTTAATTAACACATAATAATTGTACATATTTATGGGGTTCAATGTGATGTTTTGATACAAGTATACATTGCATAATGATCACAATCAGGGCAATTAACAAATCCATCACCTCAAACATTTATCATTTCTTGTGTCAAAAACACTCAGAATCCTCTCTCTTTTAAAATTTTTTTCTAATTTTATTTTAGATTCAAGTGATAGCCTTTTAAAAATTCTTTCTTTAAATAATCTGTGTGCATATTATAACTATCTGATATAGTGGACCTATAAGAGGGCAGATATAAACCCATATGAACACACCATGCCCCTGCTGGTGGAAGTAGTAACCAAAGTTATAAGACCCTTGAAAAAGCAACAGCATCTCCAATCATGTGCTGTTAGACTTGTCCTCTGTAGGGTCATCATCCTAAGTCTTTCCTTTGGTCAAGTCGGGTAGCTGTCATGCTATTAAACACAAAACTAGAAACCCAATCGTTCACCAAAAAACACTTTCCTCCGGCATGTAGCATGTAACTGATTAGGTTATCAGTTGTTCTCAAGGCTGATGATATTCTCTCCCAGTAAAGATTTCACAATTTTTGGTTGTCACATCTGGGAAAAGTTGTAACTAGCATCTAGGGGTATAGGCCAGAAATATTGCTGAACATTCTACAGTGTACAAGACAACCTGTGCCCCTCTGCCAGTAACAAAAAGTTAGCCCAAAATGTGAACAGTGCTAAGGCTGAGAAACCCTGGGCTAAATGGTAATAAGTATTCCGTTTTAGGTAATTACTGGCCAGAGATGTGGGGGTTACTAGTGGGAAAGAGCAGGCCCTCCTTCCCTAACATGCCAGGATGGTATTAGCTCCCAGCATCGTATCCAGAGTAAAGAGTATGGAGCCAGGGTCTCCTGTCTTCAGTGACACAAAACAAAGAGATCACTACTCAAATTTTCGAATTTAGCTCTGCCTTCAACATATACTAATTTTCAGGGGGCTCTCTGGAAGGGAGACTCAATGATAGCTGATAAAATATCATGTATTGTTTTAAAGCTCCAAAGAGATATAGTGGAAAACTTCCTGAATGCCTGGGCCTCTAGTAGGAAGATATTTTGCAGTATTATGATATGAAAAGCTCTATAGAAATCCCAAGTTCCTATGCTGATAAGTCTAGGGTTCACTTATATTTGTGCAGTGTGATATGTAGCATATTTCCAAAGTGCCCACCCTTACCTATAGTGGAAGAAAGGTATTGCAGAAGGCTCAATCTAAAAGGATTTTTTTTTTTTTTTTTAATTTCTGCCTCAGACTAAGAGATCTGGCTCAGGTTCTACTTCAACTATAAGCCCTGGCTGAAACAATAAATAGATGGGCAAGTCCCAAACTCTATAATAAGTACCACAAACTGGAAAATACTTAAGTAAACACTGTTAAAACACATTTCTGTTCATTTGACAATGTTAGTTTTTATAAATCCAACACAGGTCTTCTGATTATAAGTCTCATTCACTCAAATAATAATTCTAAAACATAAAACTAAAAGATTTTTAAAGTTAAAATCTTAACTGGTTTATTAAGATACATATTTATAACCTTTTTTGAGACCAGTCTGATGATTTGATAATAATTTTTTGGTTTAGAGAGTGGTTTGTTCCCAGGTTAATAAAATATAAATATTACTGACCATGTTGTATATAGAGACAAATTCCATCCCTTTAATTCCTATTGTCACCAATCATTCATGTGAAAAAATTAGTCAAGATCTCACAAAAAATAATCCCCCAATTGATTCAGTTGAGAACTCAGGACAAGGAAAAGGTTAGAAGGGGGATCATCTCTATGGAACGCTCGGCATGTTAGTAGTGTTCTATTTCCTGGGGTTTGTAATTTCCACCAACAGTGCATTTCCACCAACTCTCATAAAGGGGAGTTCCAGCTGTTTCACCAGCTGCTCTTTTAGGTCGAGCCAAAACAGAACCACCAGTAAAGTCATGAAATCTATTCGACCAACTCTAACGACACTTTTTTAGCAGGACCATTTCCAAGATGGTATTACAGAAAACTGAAAATCTCCTAACTCTAAAAATTCAGGTAGAAGAAACATTCATTTCCTAATTAATAATCTGTGAAAGTCATTTTCCTTGTATTAAGTTTGTTATTTCTTTTTGGCTTCTAAAAAATAAGACATAATTCCTCTTTAAAGTGTACCCTTCAAACATTTTCTTCCAAGGCTTTCTGAAATTTGAAATTAAATGAAATAAACATATTAAACTTCTCTTCTGGGGAAGAAAGGCATTCCAGTCAAAGTAAAGAAAAACAAGGTTTATTTTCTTTACAAGTATTCTACATGACACTTTCTTAAAATGTTCCTCTTTAAAACAATCAAACAGTATTATCCTCCTTATGCTCCTGACAGGATAGTCTATTACTTTATAAAGCTGCAAGTTGCTCTATGGTTTTGAACTACATCTAAAAATCCTTTTTCTTGAAGATTAATGAAATCATTCAGATCTATTACTGCTATCTAAGATGCTTAGATAGCATTATTTTTAAAAAGATTCTTCAGTGAGTATCTTGTTATAATAACATCAACATTAAAACTGCTATAAAGATCCAAAGTTTTAAATCTAGAAATTCTAAATTATCAGCTAATCACAGACTTACAACTTGTTACATTAGTAACCAGCTTTGAAAATTTCACATTCCATGAAACAATGACAGAAAATCACATCTTATAAATGTTTTCTTTTAAGATAGTATTACATTTCTTTCTGGTCTCCTATCTTTCTTACTTTTTTCCTTCTTAAATAATACAGAGATGATCAGATTATTCTTTTGCATCACACTTGAGAGAGAATACTAACGTGTTAGAGGTCCAAACAAAACCACATCCAATGCCTTCAGCTGAAGTTTTTGTCTGTGACTCCGGTCACTGATTTTCAACTGGGAGATCATAAATGAAGTTTCATGCACTGCTATCCTGTTCATTTAAAAAATATAGATATGTTAAATGAAAATATTTCTAGGACATAAATTTAAATATTTGAGCAACACTTTACAATTATTGATGGTCACTGTTAGAGCTTATTTATGGCTATAACATAAGTCAGCGTATTTTATTACATGCTATTGTTATATAAGTAAATTTCCCAAAAGAAAACGTAAGAAAAATACTATATATCCAGGACAACATATAAACCAAAAAACCTTAATCCTATTTTAATGTTCTATCTTGTTTTAACTTAGTAACTTTATTTATGTGTTTGTTTGTTTGTTTGTTTGTTTGTTTATTAGAGTCTCACTCTGTCACCCAGGCTGAAGTGCAGTGGCACACTCACAGCCACCGCAGTCTCCACCTCCTGGGCTTAGGCGATCCTTCCACCCCAGCCTTTCAAGTAGCTGGAACTACAGGCGTGCACTACTATACCTGGCTTATTTTTTTTGACTTACTGTAGAGACAAGGTTTAAATGCTGCCTGGAGTGAAATACTTAACTTGTCTATGACTTGGTTTTTCTAACCTGTAAAACAGGAATGACAATATATACCTCATTTTGATCATGAGACTTAAGAAGGATAATATATGAGGGGGAACCCACCAAAAACCAAAATTATCTTTTGAAGGGTGAGCTCCTTATAATACACTTGGAATTTGTTCCTCCAGATCAAATGGTCAACCAAACTTTTTATTTGAAAGTTTTGAGAAGATTGTGTCACAATTTGTGGAAGAAACATCCAGAGTTGTGGCAAACAGGTAACTAGTCCTTACTCCACGACAATACCTGCCCACACCACTCTGAGTGTTCAGCAGTTTATGATCAAAAACAGCATGACCCCTAAGTTCCATTCTTCCTATTCACCTACTCTTGCCCCAAAGGACTTTTTTTGTTTCCCAAAATGAAAAAAGTCCTCAAAGGGAAGTGTTTTGCTGATGTGGAAGAGACGAAACAAAAAAAGGGAAGAAGCACTAAAAGACATCAAAATTGACAAGTTCAAAAACTGCTTTGGTCAGTGGAAAAAGTACCTTGATAGGTGTATTGCATCAAACGATGAGTACTTTGAAGGTGAGTGAAGTTTAAACATGTAAGAATATATACATACATTTTAAAAAATAAATTCTGGTGTTTTGAGGGTACACACCTTGCACAGTAATTCTATGTAATACACATTTTTTATGTGGTTGCTACATTTATTTTTTGCTTGATTAAACTTCATTTTTAAAATTCAGGCACGCAAAAGACATGGTGGCTCACACCCGTAATCTCAAATACTTTGTGCGGCCAAGGTGGGAGGACTGCTTGCCTTACTTTGTCTAGGCAACAAAGTAAGACCTTGTCTCTACGAAAAATAAACAAATTAGCTTGTAGCTCCAGTTATTTGAGAGGATGAAGTGGAAGAATCATTCTGACCCCAGGAAGTTGAGGCTGCAGTGAGCCCTGATTGTGCCTCTGCATTCCAGCCTGGGCAACAGAGTGAGACCCTGACTCAAAAATGAATAAGTAAAATAAAATAAAACTCAGGTATAACTCATGGACACCATAAGTATATGATTATTGTTGTCATTAAAAAAGAATAACAATTATGAAGGATTTGTACCAATAATCCACTCAAATAGGTATCTTCATGAAAATGGATCAGTATCAAATGAAAACTTTTTTCTTAGATTGGCCAAAAGTTGACCTTTGATACAATCTACAAATGATATAGGTGACCCACCCTTCTAATTCTTAAAATTACTTTCCTTGAAAATAAATCTTTTCAAGGGCCTGATTATTTACACAAGAAAATTTGACTGAAACTTAAAAATGGATACTTTAAAAACATTAAAGAACACACATGTTTATATTTCCTCTGTGGCCTCAGTCACAGGAGTAACTTGTAGATTCAGCATTGAAAATGAATGGAAGAATACTTTTAGATAAAGACTCACCTGGGAAGTGTTGTTCCTTTGACATTATTGTCTCTAAAATTCTTTTCATATTGGGGTAGTTCAACAAATTCTATTAACCACTGGAGGGTATCCTCAAGGGTCCAATTATGAACTACAGGAGATAAAAGAGGAATGTATATTTTAAACACCTGCTGTCATACTATCTGTATACTATAATTTCAGAGAAAATAAAAATGTTAGACTGAATTTTCAATTTAGTCAACAGTAAGTACTAAAATGGTATCTAGCACTCTGTGAGGAGAAGCTAAAAACAGTAAGAGACAAGCCTTCTATCTTTCAAGGCTTACAATCTAAAATAAAAGATAACAATAAAAACAATTGGGATAAATATTAGCATGATTAATTTTAAAATAAGCATCTACATTCAGTTTGTACAAGATGAAATAATCTGTCACTTCCCTGGTTATAGAAAATTTACCAGGCATATACTTGTTCATTCTTTCATCTAGCCATCCACTCACATATTGTAATACTGTAAACATTCTGAGTATCAGGTTCCATTCTAAGCACTGGACATATGGCAGTGAACAAGATGGATAAAGTCCTTGTCCTTATGGAACTTAAATTCCTTTGGGGTTCAGGAGAGGCAACTTATGGAAGAAGGAAGAAGATGGATGGAAATTTCAGATAAGATTAGCTATTAAGGAAGGAAAAATGTCAAGGTAAGCATCCCTGAGAAGTTGATGTCTAAATTTAAGACTAAAAGCTGCAAGGAGCCACATTGTGAAGCCACATTGTGGGAGAAAAATATCACCCCAAACAGGAGGAAAAGCTAGTATGAATGTCTTCAGATAGGAATAATCTGGGGGTGTTTGAGAGACAGGCAGAAAGTCAGAAAGGGACCAGATCATAAAAGACTTGCAAGAACTCTGGGTAGTTCTCTAATTTTAATTAAAAAAGGAGTGAAATCATCTGTTTTTAAAATATCACTCTTCAATGTGAGGAATGGATTGTACAGCATAAGCTAGTCTTATTCAAGGAGAAATAAGGAGAACATTCCTTACATAATTGTCTAGACAAGAGAGGCTTCTGTCTAGGACTATGGTGGTAGAAGACATACTAACAGGAGGTCAGATACAGAATATCTAAGGATAATGCTATTAAGATTAGCTGATGAAATGGATAGGAGTTGGTAGCTATAGGAAAGCCAAAAGTACAGAGGGTGCTGCCATTATCTGAGATAGGAAAGAATGGGAAGGAACAGATTAGGGGAAGCGAGTAGGGGCAAGTGATAGAGATCCAAAGTTCTGTTTTTAGACATGTTATGTTTGAAGTATGTTTGAAGTAGACATTTAAATGTAGATAATACCATAACAATGAGATACGCAAGTCTGGAGATTAGGAAAAAGTGAGGTTAGAAATAGAGATACTAATGGAGAGTCATCAGCATACAGATGATCTTTAGACTGAATGAGACTGACCAGAAAAAACAGCTATTAATAGATTCTAGGAGACTGGATCTAAATCAAGAAAAAGTAATAACTAACATCTCCTCCTGAACACATTAGGTCCTAACATAATTATCTCTATTTTGGAAATGAGAAACTAAATGTTAAAGAAACCAAGACAGTAAGCAGCAGGACTGGATTTGAACTCAGGCAAACTGACCACAGAATCTAACTTTACCCTATAAGGAAAGCAATAATAGTAAATAACAGTAAAGCTATAAACAAGCAGTTAAATACTGAAAGCAATTCAGAGGTTTCTGCTTATGAAGGGTAATGATGAGCTCATCCAAAGGAAAGGATGCCAGTGTGCTTGAAAAATGAGGAGTTCCATATTGTCTGCATTTAATTTGAGGGTTTGAGAAAACAAAGTGCTTACAGACCACAGAAGACAGAGGTCAAAGGAGAGTGGAAAAAACAAGTGAGCAATAAAAGCAGATCTGGGAATCCATCTGTGCGTAAATAAATCTGAAAAAAAACCTTTCTGATAAACCACACAAAATTATGAATTTATTATTTGCAAGCAAGCTAATCTGCCTTTTATTGTATTCCTTAGAGGAAAAACTTAAATAGATCACACACAACAAAAACCAAAAACTTCGTTTAAAACCCATACGTGGCCGTCTACAATTGTACACTGAGACAACGCTTTGACTACTCTTTAATGTGCTCTCCTTCGTGTGTTCCAACCATAAAGCCTGAACAAGAGCCTGAGGTTGCTGTATCCATTTAGACAAATAATTTAGGCTATCAGCCAAAGCTTCAGGCCCTGGGTGTTTTCCACTGAATTTAATACATTTAAAGTAGCCATTTTACTCAAGTTTCTTCCTAGTCAAAATGAACTGCATTGAGAACTGCCCTGTCTTGACTGCCAAGAAACCCACAGTGCAGCTGCACCTCACACACCCACACAAAATCCCAGCCAAGAAAACAAGATAAGATTCTCTCTGTCACTTCTATGACTGTTCAGCAGTTAAAGTCCCTGGTTCAAACACTCCGGCACATTAAAATATTCCCTCAATTCCAAATGAGCCAACATAGAAAGAAAGAAAAATCAAATGAAAAATAACATATATTTAAACTGCCCAAATCTTAGTGATATTCTACCTAGCAAATAAAAATTGTAGTGGTTTTCTTGACAGTGAATCTTTAAAACAACAAAATTCAAATATAGAACTGTTTATCTTGGGGGAGAGGTTCACTTCTCCTTTTGCTCGTTTCCTTGATAAACACCTTCATTTCTTTCTTTCTCTGCTTCCAGTACACTAGTTGTCTTTCAGTTCTTAGGACAAACCATACTGTGTCCTTCCTCAGGACCTTTGTACATACTGTTTCCTCACTATAAGACCCTTTTCTCTATACCTTGCCTCTTTTTTGCCTATTTATTTTCTTGAGTTGGAGTCTCACTGTCGCCCAGACTGGAGTGCAGAGGCCGCTTCCGGTCATGGCAGCCTCGATATGCTGGGTTCCGGCGATCCTTCCACCTCAGCCTTCCAAGTAGCTGGAACTACAGGTGCGCGCTACCACGCCCAGCTAATTTTTTTTAAATTTATTGTAGAGATGAGGTCTCGCCTGCCCAGAGGGGTCTTGAACCCACGGGCTCAGGCAATCCACTCACCTCAGCCTCCTTCATATCTCAGCTAAAACTTTAATTCTTCAAGTTAGCCTTTCCAAACACTGCTATATGATTAATTCCTCTGTACTTTTAATGCATAGTATATATTAATAATTATTCAGTTGTACGATTATTTCCTCAACATCCATTTACTCCACTAAAGTGCAAGTCTCTTGCTCACCACTCTAACTCTACTACTTGATATGCAGGTAGTGTTCAACGAATTATTTATTTGATACAGTTGAATAAAGCAGAACATGCTTAATTACAATCTATTTTTACATTTTAGTGAGGAGACCCAGATAAACAGAAATAGGGTTTTGTCTATATAATACATTATTGATGATAAAAGAAGTTATTCACTTAAGAATTATCTGGTACGTTACTACCAACTGCTCATCTTACAAACGCGGTTGCTAAATAGCAGTTCCACTAGAGAGTAATATATTTCCCAATATGCCGAGCTATGAAAATGCCAATTTCTACATTGTTAACTTCTACTGTTTCTGCTTACAATTGTGGCCAATGCTGGTGACTCAAAGTAATTTTGGTAATTTATTCCAAGACCATTAGAAAGAACTCCGGAAGGAAAAAAGATTTGACTGTAGTCCCTGCTGTACCACTGGTTCAGGGTAACATCACAGCCAGGCTATTTAACTATGGCGCAGGTTCTTGTTTTCTTATTAATAAGTCATATGTGTATATATTTTGGGGATACAGGTGATACTTTGATACATGTATACAAGTGTGATTATCAAATCAGAGTAACTGGGATATCTATCCCCTCCAACATTTATCTTTTCTTTGTGTTGGGACAATTACAATTCTTCTCTTCTAGCTATTTTGAAACACACAGTAAATTACTAAGAACTATTATTTCTGTATTGCTCTATTCAATACAAGAACTTATTCCTTCTATCAAATTGTATTGTTGCACCCATTAACCATATTCTCTTCATCCCCCCACTCTCTTTCCTTCTCAGTCTCTGGTAACCATCATTCTACTCTCTACCTCCATGAAAGAAAGCTACTCTCTTAGCTTCCAAATGAGTAAAAACATGCAGTATTTGTCTTTCTGTGCCTGGCGTATCTCACTTAACATAACAACCTTTAGTTCCATCCATGTAGCTGGAAATGACAGGAACGTATGTTCTTGGTGCCTTTGTTAGAGTCTATAATACTCAGTGATCTATCACAGAAACAAACAACCGAGTACCACATGTTCTCACTCATAAGTAGACCCTGAACATTTACTTTG